CCTACCAACATCCTCCATAATCACCACCTCATCTGCAACTGCAAACATAAACACCATCTAATCGTAACTCAATGCTTGCTCAAAAAGCAACTCGGTTGTGGTGGTGACATTGACCCGAGCAATGACTTGAATCCCACGTAAGTTCCCAAATCGCCTCCAACTAGGATCGAATATGGAATTGATGATGCTCTGCCTCAGGGGATTGAATAAATTAGGATCTAATCCCATCTGGGAGAGTCGGTGGAAAATATGGAGATCGGAGGTACGCATGGAGAAGAAAACATGACGAGGAATCGTGAAAGACTCTTCAAAATCTGAAAGAGTGATTGTAGGATAATTGGTATTGAGATAGCCTTGAGGACTACGAAACTGTAGTTTGAGAAGATGAGTAATGTAAATTTTGCCAATAACTGGAGTTTCAGGAGGTGGGTCTATCCATGGTAATGGATACATCTGAATGTTGTAATCTGTTGATATAGTTTCCATTGACAAAAAGCTTGAGAAAGAAAAAGTTGGATGAGATTGTAGGATTAATGGAGATGATGAAAAAGAGGGTTATTTGATTTTATAGCGTTTTGAGTTTCCATATTTGGAAACCAAACAAGTAATGTTGGAAGTAGGATTCTAGTTTCCTAAATATTGTTGGAATTGTAGTTTCCTAATCCGCTCATGCATGCGTGACTATCACTCTCACGGCCGGTTTTGGCTCAAATTTGACAAAGCTACTGCTTTAGGCCCCAAAAAATTGAGCTGAAAAATGGTACCAAATTTGTTTTAGCTATTAGACAAGTCAAAAAAAAGGTTTTTCATGATACTTAGCATTGCTGTTTGAAATGCCCTAACAAAATTTGGTAAAAATTCAAAATTAATAGATAACTGATGTGGTGAATTATTTAAAACAAATGATTGTTTTAATCTGTAAAAACTAAAAAGCCGATTGATATGGTGTATTATTTTAAATTAATGGATGATTGTTTCATAAATGCATGGATTGCGTATAAAATACGATTAATTATATCTTATTTATGAGAATAGAAACTTTTCAATTTTAAAATTGATTATATTTTACTTTCAGTCAACAATGTTATAGCATCTCTAATGATTTGCCAATGGAACTGTTATTGCCGAATTATGGCAGCAGTTCATAGAAAACCAAACTAAACCAAATCAAACCAACCAAGTCTTAAGTCTCATCAAATGGGGTCGGCTACATAAATTCTTCTTCTCCACGCAGCCTAATCAAAGGCCATTTCATTAGTCAAATTAAGTATATTCATATCTCTATTTACAACGCTAGCCAACGTTAATGTAAGCTTACCCCGTCCCCTAACACTTCCATCTACCGTTACAGCATCGTATCTCTTCACTACTGTCTCTATTGGTCTCCGATGAATATGACCAAACCATCTCAATCGATTCTTTCTCAACTTATATTCTATCAGTGTTACTCCAACCCATTCTCGAATACACTTATTCATAATTCTGTCTTGTGTAGTCTTGCCACACATCCGCCTTAGCATCCTCATTTCAGCCACACTCATCTTATCTACATATTGTTTCTTAGTTGCCCAACACTCCATCTCATACAACATCGCTGGTCTAATAGCCATTCTATAGAACTTATCTTTTAGCCTAATGTGTATTCGTTTATCGATTAAAAATGATTTAATCAATAAGTTAAATTATACATGTTTGATTGACAAATTTGTAATTAAAAAAACGAGTTGTTCACTTTTTATTCAGTATTTCAACTTGAATTATTATTATTTTTTTAATTGTAAATAAATTTTAATAATTATATATAGAAGTAATTTTTTCCTAAACATGGTTAAATATTTTTTTTTTTTAAATACATAATCTTTTAATTATAATTTTTTTTTTTAAATATATAAGAGATCCCATATTAAGAATGTGTTTTGGGCTGCAAAAATATCTGAGCTAGCCTTGATCACTCTATGGGACTTGCAGACTCCTGAGAGTGTGGCATATTATAGCGATCCCGGTTTTCCTTTTCTTTGATTATTGCATTCCGAACTTGGTTTCGTGGTTATGTTGTTGTCTTATTCTCATTTACATCATTTACTCTTTGTATTTGAGTCTTGGATTGTGTTGGGCAGGTTTGGAACAGGTTAGTTGTGTTAGAAATCAAAAGTTGATGCCCAGATTTTTGGCCTTTACGCTCGAGCGGGGCTTTTGACGCTCGAGCGGGCCCTTTGTTGTTGCTTCTCCGCTCAGCGGGAGTTTTGACGCTCGAGCGTGAATATTCATCTCCCAATATTTTGTCTCTGCAAGTCGTCGTACGCTCGAGCGGGACATTTCGTTTTTGTTCCTCCGCTCGAGCGGGGAGTTTGAAGCTCGAGCGGGGAACATGGTCTGCAAAACTTCTAGAAGTGTGCAATCGACGCTCGAGTGGCGCTTTTCACGCTCGAGCGTGAGTCTGTATCTGACGCTCGAGCAAGGAGTTCCACGCTCGAGCAAGGCGACTTGTATATCAGTCCGAAGTTCAACTTTTTGGATCACTTTTTCAACTCCTTTTCTCTCTCTTACTTTTCAAAAACTCCATTAGAGAGCCTCTCTCTCTAAAACACAACTTCTCACTAGGGTTTGATCTAGTTTGAGTGATCTCCTACCCTGGTGTCTTTGTAAAAAGTGTAGAGCTTAGCTTGGGCTACATTTCTATCTGAAAATCTTGGGATTTGGAGCACTTTGAGTTTTTATCATCTTCTCCGTTGAGCTCCGAAATTTGAGGTAGGGATAACTACTCATTTTTATGGTCTTTGACATAAACTATTGGTCATTTTGATTTAATGTTGATATTGAGTAATTTTGGGTGTTAGGGTTTTCAAAATGAGAAAGAGGGGTTTTGTTATTTTAGCCCACACTTGTGTAATTTGGGTCATAAAATGAGGGTATTGATGTTATTGAAGATATTTTGGGCCTTTGGGTCAATATTGAGAAAGAGGGAGAAAAGCCCTAATTTGATGATATGAATTAATTTATATAATTAATTTGGGAATGTTACGGAAATATGAAATTGAGTTGGGAATAATGAAATTAGCTCATTATGTAGTAGAATGGTGGAGTTGGATACATTAATCACTCACCTTTGAAAATGCTGATAATTTATTTGTTGGTGCGTTTATTATCTGTTTAGAAATAATTGTTTTGGGTTATCGGTGGAGGATAGTCTTGATTATTGTAGACACTGCATGATGATTACGTGAATTAAAACTAATCAATTTGAGTATGTCATTCAGTGTGACGGTTGGAATAATATAACGAATTTGTGTATTGGTTAGTCATTGTATATGATGAGTATTTGAATACATGGGTGCCGAATCCCGCGGATGAAATTTTCGTAAAATGGCAATTCGAATATAATTATACATGGGTGCTGAATCCCGCGGATGAAATTTCCGTAAAATGACAATTCGAATATAATTATACATGGGTGCCGAATCCCACGGATGAAATTTCCGTAAAATGGCAATCCGAAAATATCTATACATGGGTGCCGAGTCCCGCGGATGAAATTTCCGTAAAATGGCCATAAGAAAATAATTACACATGGGTGTCGAATCCCGCGGACGCAATTTCCGTGAAATGGCAATTTGAAGTATTGTTGGCATGAGATGTACTCTCACTTAAGTTGTTTGGCCAGGTTCTGAGCCATATTTATAAGTTGAGTTTTTGTTAAGTGAAGGATTATGGAACTGGATTGTACTGTATGTTGGTGTATATGAGTTAAACGTTTATCAAGTGCTAATGTTTTAGTTATTGCTCATATTGGGGGTGTTTGTTTCAGTTTTTCAGAGCCAACTTATCGCTTTTAGCTTTGAAAAAGTTATTTTGGACTGTTTGGTTAAACTTATTTCAAACAGCTTCTGATTCTAACAGCTTATTTTAACTCAAAAAAGTTGATTCTGAGAAGCTGCTCACCCCTTGCTTCTGATTATCAGCTTCTGTTGTGGACATGTTAATTTATGGTTATACTCTTAAATTTTTTTATTTTTTATTTTTTTAAAAATAGAAAAAGACTCAAATGGACTATAGATTATTATTATTTTTTTTTATGAGAAATGTAGACAAACAAAAAATAAAAATTAATTGAAAAAGCTATTTCACAGCTTATTTAACAAACACTACTCAGCAACTTAAATCTATAATCCAACAGTTACACCAAACAGATTAACAACTTCTGATTAAAGTCATAATCTATAATCTGTTAAACTATTATCTATAATCTGTTAAGCTATAATCTATAAGTTGTTTTAACAGCTACACCAAACGGAGCCATTATGTTTAGCATATCTCTACTGGGCGTTGGCTCACCCTATATGGGACATCATTTTCAGGTACAGGTGTTATGTCACCTCCAAGGACGTAGTTTGGGAGGCTTGAGGCAGTCAGACTCCTTTTTGTTATTTTGTTGTATTACATGTATATCAAGCCAAGGGCTTATTTTGTGTAGGGTTAATACTCCCCTTTTTGTAACCAAGTGTTGACTTGGAAAGTTGTAAGCCTATAAGGCATTTACTTTAGTTGTCAACATGTAATACCTTTTGTAAAAATACTCTGATGATTGTAATATGAAATCTCTTCTATTTATCGTGAATGTATGTTGTGATAGGTTTATTTTTGAGGGCGTTACACATATGATAAAAGAAAGTTGAAATTTTATTTTAATTACATAAATTGTCTTCTTCCTAAAATAATAATAAAAAAAAGAACTTTTCACTTGCAACAAAGACTGTCCAATTTCATCAGCAAAAAAACAAGAAAAAAGGAAAAGGAAAGCAAATGATGAGAAAGGGACTATGGATAATAATCCTAGTAAAGATTAAAATAAAAAAACCAGTCATCATGTGGGTGTGTAGTCCCAACCAGCATATTGCGATGGACATGTTATAAAGTTGCAGCCACCGTGATTCACACACTTTTTCATTGTTTTTTCTTTTCTTTTTATTTTATTTCACCATCAAAGTACCTATTTCAAAGACCAAAAAATCCCATCACTATTATCCATTTGTATTAGTCGTTTATATAATATCTCATAGATTAGAAAATGACAAAAACTAATACATTTCAAATTTGTAGATTTCAATAGCAATAACTTGCTTGGTTTTACTTAATTCATTTCTTACATTACAATTATAATGAAGGCCTTGTATTAAGTGCAACATGTATCAAACATGGTAGAGCTAATGATATCTACAGACAAAGCAATTGAATCTCACTTTGCCTATGAAGCCCCATGAGAGATAAGCGTGTAACACTAATAGCTAGGTTTGTGACGATAACATCTTTCCCAAATACATGAATCCTTGACAATTTTTATTCAAGGAAATATGAACTTCATTCAATTCCTCACAAGTTGAGCTCAGGTGCCCCCATACCAATGAAAGCAATAGTCACACGAGAAGTTAATTTAACTCACCTTGGACTGCTGGACAAGAGACAAGGTTGGCCCCATCCCTCCCCTTTTGCACGGTTTCATTGGTCAAGAACACCATATACACAAGCCACGATGATTCTCTGGACTACTAACATATTTTCTCATCACACACTAGCTCCAAGACATTCTCTTCTAATGTTACTCTCCTTATGCTCCATTTACTGCTAATTTCAATCACCCATTACCAGTCAAACTTGATCATAATAACATTCTTTTATGGTGAGCTCAATCATGACCTCAAAAGATACATAAATGGCAGTCACCCTTACCCGCTTTGTCTCATTCAATCCACTTCTTCACCTACCTCTGCTTGAAATGAAAACTGATATCCCACCATTACCAGCTTATGTTGCCTGAAAAAGCAATATCAATTACTTCTGAGTTCGATGCTCATCCTTACTCATCAGTGTATCAGTTCAAACAATTTCATTCTATTGAAAAAATCAATTCCCCTGCCACAATAGTAGCTCTTTTATCACTGAATCAAATATATTGCGTGTATCAAAAATTTATGTAACCAGAAAACCCTCTTCCATGGTAAAATCATTGTCTGATATGTACCCAACCTTCTTCATTTTCACATGAAGATCACGAATTAAAGAATAAATAAGATTAGCTTTGCTATGTGATTTATCACCAACTACAAACACATGAACCTTGTTTCCGACATCAATCCAGCTACAACCCGGCTGCTTCTTCAACCCCTTGTCCTTCATTTTCAACCTAAGTTTCGCAGCTTCTCTCCATTTCCCACTTGAAGCATATATGTTAGACAGCAACATATAAGTACCTGCATTTTCTGGCTCTAATTCCAAAAGTCTTTTTGCAGCCAATTTCCCCATATTTGTGTTCCCATGAACATAACATCCAGCAAGAAAAGCCCCCAAAACAGAACCAGAAGGCTCAATTGGAAGCCGCTGAATAAAATCAAAAGCCTCCTTGACCCTCCCCGCTCGACCACAGAGATCAACCAAGCATGAATAGTGATCTTGTCGCACTTGTATTGATTTGTCTTTTATGAGCTCGTCAAAGTACTTCAATCCCTCATCCACCAAACCAGCATGGCTGCACGCTGCAACGTATGTAACATCATTGGGTTTGATTCCTAAGTTCTGCATTTCTTTGAAAAGGCTGATTGCCTCACCGCCACATCCATGGCGAGCATAGGCTGCGATCATTCCATTCCATGAGATCAAATCTCTCTGGCCTGCAAATCCATCATCGAACATTTTCCTAGCAGTACTTAATTCTCCACACTTAGAGTACATATTTATAAGTGCTGATATCACAAATGCACCATTTTGATGTACTGTCTTGCAAATTACCTGGTGAATTTGATGTCCTTCGCTACAACCAGCTAAACTACTACAAGCAGCCAAAACACTTATGAAAGTTCCCTGGTTTGGCTTTACGCCATTGGCCGCCTGCATTCTTGAGAAGATTCTTAACGCCACTTCACTTTGACCATCTTGGATGTACCCAGTAATCATGGTTGTCCAAGAGATGACATTCTTATCAGGCATTTCATTGAAAAACTTATCTGCCTTCTTTAAATTCCCATTTTGGATAAACCCTGTGATCATTGCATTCCACGAAGGAATATCCCTCTCCGGCATCCTCTCAAACAATTCAAGTGCTTCTTCCAACCTTAAATTATTTGCATATCCTGTAATCATAACATTCCATGAAACCACATTTCTTTCTGGCATTATGTCAAAAAGCACCCGAGCTTCGTCAATCCTCCCATTTTTTGACAAACCATCAATCATTGCAGTCCAAGAAATCACATTTCTTTTGGGCATATAATCAAAAAGCTTCCTAGCCTCCTCAATTCTCCCACATTGACGCAACGCCATCATAACTGCATTCCAAGAAACCAAATTCCTCTCAGGCATTTTCTCAAACAGACTCAATGCTGAATCTATTAGATTACTTTGCAAATACCCATTAATCATAGTGTTCCAAGAAACCAAATTCTTGTGAGGCATCTCATTAAATAGCTTCTCTGCCTCTGAAATCTGATTCATTCCTATGTACCCACTAACCATAGCAGTCCAAGTGACCACATTTTTCTTAGCATCCACTCTATCAAACAAATTCCTTGCTTCTCTAATCATTCCGCGATGTATATAATCCGAGATAACACTCGTCCACGCAATCACATCTGGGTCAGGCATTTTATCAAACAATTGGCGTGCTTCGACAATTTGACCCTCTCTGCATAGCTTCGTGATCATCCAATTTGTCTGTTTCACGCTTTGATATACGAAACCATCCATTTTGGGTATCGATAATTCGGCAGTTCTGAATTGATTTGCTGAGTGATATAGATAGGATTGAGATTCCCATTGAAGCTTGAGATTGCATAGTGTAAGTGCAAGAGTTCGATTAGACCTCAAAAGGGGATATATTGTAAAATCTCTACCATGTCTCAAAGCAATTGAGAGCCTAGAAAATGATTGCATAGATGACATAAATGCAACGAAGCAAGTGGTTTGAACTCCGTAACGGTCATCAACGGTATTATTACCCCATGAATCAACCTGTCCCAATCTCGATCATTCTTCACGGTCTCTTCTTCTTCCTAAATTTATATCATAAAGTTGTATCATAAATTTGCCTTAATAACAAATTAAATCTTTAATTTTTAATTTTATCAATTTAAATTATAAATTTTTTATTTATTTTCAAATTAAATTACTAGTCTATTTTTATTAAGATAAATTATGAATATACCATTTAAAATTTACTTAAAATATGAATTATCTCTTATAACTAGAAAAATTACAAATGGTCCCTTATCATAATTTTTAGGGGTATTTTTTTTAAGGTCCTTGATATTATGATTTTATAGTATAAAGGACATCAAATATTTTCATGATGTCTAAGGTCCCTCAACATCAATTCAGAGAAAATTCAAGCTAGAGAAAATTGGTTCAGAGAAAATTTAAGTCAGAGAAAATTGGTCCAAAGAAATTCTGAATTTCTCTAGACTTTCCAAATTTCTCTGGACTTCCCTAAACTTCCCACTATAAATTTCTCTGCCCTTTTTTTTTTTTTAACATAAGAATTCCCCTACCTCAACTCACTTCCTTGCTATACACTGCACATGAGGTGGTCTACAAGACAGCTAGAGCCATGGGGCTATATTCCAATGTCAATGTGCTTTACAATCTGAGCTGGTTTTTCCCCATTGATTCTGGTTTCTTCTACCTTGTTCAGCTGCATTTTTGCGAGGTGAATCGGTGGATGAAAAATGTAAACCAGAGAGTGTTTGACATATTCATCAACAATGAAACAACCGAAGTTAAAGCTGATGTTATTGCTTGGAGCAACAGGTACGCAGTTCCAGTGTATTGAGACTATGTTGTTTTGGTTCGAAAAGTAAACAATGGGGAGAAGCAAGAGCTGTGGCTAGAGCTACACCCAAACACGAAAACAAAATCTCAGTAGTTTAATATCATTTTAAATGGAGCTGGGATCTTCAAATTAAGCAACTATGATGGAAACCTTGTTCACCTTAATCCTCCAAAAAAAGATTGTGGCTAGTTTGCCTCCAAAGAAACATAACCCAAAATCATCAAAGAAGATTACCTTGATTATGGTTGGATGTATTCTTGGCGGGCTGCTAGTTTTTCTTATTTTCTCTTTCCTCCTTTATATGAACAGACCAGTTGGTGGATGATCCGAGCAGCTAACATGCCGGCGAAGCAATATCACCCTTCTCTCTAGAGAAATTCAAAATTTCTCTGGCTGCATGATTAGAAAATAAGGTAAACTTAATCAATATTAAAGTTGCATCACAAGTTAGAACTGAAATTTCTCTGCTTTGAACTGAAATTTCTCTGGGTTGGTCCAGAGAAATTCTCTGATTTTAGCTCAGCTTTAACATGATCTGGATCAGTAGTTTGTTGGTCAATTTTGTTTATGGCTGGGATTATTGTCAGGTTAGATTCAAAAGCAAGATAAAAGTTATCAACAGTTCACTCCATTGAGTGAATAAACAATAATAACAACATATATATATATATATATATAAATTAAAAGCTAGCCCCAAGCTCCAATGCAAAACCACACCAAGAGGACTTCGGGGTAGCAACGTAGATGTAACAAACTATCTTGAATCACTACTTAAACAAAAAATTCATTGGAACATAATAACTTGATTTTTTGTGTTCCATAAGAGCATGCATCAAATGAAAAACTTGCATGGCTGCCCAATCAGGATAAACATGAATATTGGTTTGATCCTTTCAATTTTCTCTGAGTTGAATCCAGAGAAAATTCAAATTCCTCTGGGTTGAATCCAGAGAAATTTGAGAAATTCTTGGGGCATGAGCTCAAGGACAGACCACAACCTTGCAGCTTCAGTAGAGTTGGATCCCAATTTGGATGTTGAAGCTTCGTTGCAGTCTGCCAAGTACTTTCCAGAAACGTTTTCAAGCCTCGGATGCGTAGCAACGTAGCAAGTCGTCGCAGCGGCCTGAACAAAAATTCAAATTCATTAACACACTTGCACCTACTATAAATACTTACAATAAGATATATAAATTAAGTGTATATCATCAAAAATTTTAGCGAGTGATTAATAAACACTACCTAAGGAATTGTCTTCAAGAACTTGGAAGCTAAGAAGAATACCAAATCTGCATATTTTATCGCTTCAATTTTACAACCTCAAGACTCAACTAGATGCGTATATATATATATATATATATGCAAGAATCTCAGGTTTAGAGAATAGTAGCGACCTATTATGAGGTCGGGTCGCGGATCTGGGCGGTGCGGAGGTCTGCGACGGTACCAGAGCGGAAGGAGGAGTCGGAGGAGAAGGTGTTGAGGAAGAGGTCGTAGAGAAGGGTGGAGAGGAGGGTGAAGGAGCAGAGCTTGTTGCCTTGGATCTGGTAGACAGTAGGTGAGAGGAGAAGAGAGAGAGAGAGAGAGAGAGAGTAGAGTAGAGACAAAGAGTCAAATTTCTCTGATATATATTTAGGGACTTTAGACATCAAAAAATAATTTTGTGAATTTCTTCCATTACGAAAAGTGGGAGAGGAACCCTAGACCATTTTTTCCTAATTTTTATTTAACAGAATTAACTGAAAAAAATACTTCTTGTTAGAATTTTTTATTTAACAAAATTAACTGAAAAAATAAAATTTCTAAATGTTATTCTATACAATGATAAAATTACTCGAATTATTAATTAAAATAAATTTCAAATATTATTAAAAATTATTAATTAAATTAATAATTTATTAATAAGGGGCAATTACCGAACAGTGTTGATTAAGAATTTTTTTTTTGTTTTTTTGTTTTTTTTTTTGAAAACGAAACCAGCCATATATTAGATTTTAGGAATTTGAAATAACATTCTTGGCTAGATTATGTGCTGGCTGAGTAACATGTCTATCAACCATACAAATACAACACATGATTCAAACATTGAGCAAAAGCTAGAATATCATGAACCAGAGTACTAACATGCCAATCCTCTTTGCATTGAGGATCTTGAAACATGTGAACCAAAACTTGACAGTCCGTGTATACGTTTATATTTTTCAAACCTTGTTGTACAGCCCATCGGATGGCATCCAAACACGCATGCGCTTCAGCCAGTAAGGCATGTGATGAGAATGGTTTCACCACAGCCTGCATGTTAATCAACTGCTGCTGGTTGTCTAAGCAAATCCACCCAACTCCTGCATGATTGGTTGGTGATTTCCAGGAGCCATCGATGATAAAGTGCCAAACATCGAAGACACTGCGAGTATCTATGACATTCTGCAAAATACAGAAGTTAGATGTGTTAATACCATGATTACTTTCAGAAATGGAGCAAGTGCCATTATCTTTTTTAATAAGACATGAAGACATATGAAAGAGATTCCTGGCTTCCTCTAAGGTTGTGTCAATATTTGGGCCAATTTGCTAGAAAACAACCCAATTTCTTTGTAGCCAAATGGCCCATAAAATGCAACCGAGTGGATAACTATTTGGGTGTCATGAACTTGTTCAATCCAATTAGAAAACCATTGAAAAAAAAGATACTGGTACACCAATTCAAAAGTCCAGACCCAAAGGTGAGCCCCTCCATACTCATTGTGCCCACTCACATTCAAAAAATACATGTTCAATTGTCTCCTCTTCATTGTGACATCGAGCGCATCTAGTACAAACATGGACTCTACATTTTTTTAATTCCCATTGTACAGGAAGAATTTGGTGGGGACATTTCCAAATAAAGACAGCCCATTTTGGAGGTAAGCCTATTTTCTATAACTTTTTCCATACCCCTTGAGTAGAACAAGTCCTATAAAACATAGGGTAAGTACGAATCCAGGCCTGTTTATACCCAGATTTTACAGAATAAACACCATTTTTAACGGGACTCCAAACCAGTCTATCTTCACAAGGATAATTGGGTATGTGAATTGACATAATAGCACGAGAACAAGCTGGTGGGAAAAAGAATCGTAGCAAATTTTCTCTCCAATAGCCTTGATCCCTGCCAATAAAATATGCAACTCGCATATCTGGAAGCAGTCTTTTGATTTCTCTTCCTCGCAAGGGTTTGAGCATAGATGGAATCCATTGATCTTCGAACGGCCGAATTTGTTGCCCATTCCCCGTTACCCAATATAGGCCCGACTTCAATAGATCCCTACCCCATAAGATACTGCGCCACCCCCAAGAAGAATTGGAACTCATAGTAACATGAAGGAAAGATTGTCTATTACAATACTTACTCAATAAGACCCTTGTCAATTACCCATTTGGATTAGAAATCAACCAACACGCCTGCTTTACAAGTAGGTCTTGATTAAAACACGCTAAGTCTCTAAAACCCAAGCCACCCCAATCTTTTGGGAAACATAAATGCATCCATTTTTTTCCAGTAAATGCCCAGCTCACCATTGGACTTCCATAGGAAATTTCTGGTTGTGTTAGATAGTTTGGTCAAAACGGTGTTTGGCATTCGGAATACTGACATTAAGTATACCGGTATTGAGTGCAATACATATCTAACCAAAACCCCTCTTCCTGCAAAGTTTAACAACTTACATTTCCACCCTTGAAGTTTAGTTGATATTTTTTTTAAAATAGAGTTGAAAATAACCCCTTTGGATCGGCCCATAAAACCCAAGTTGGCTCCTAAATAAATGCCCAAGTGAGTCCCAACTTTAACACATAAAATTGATTGGAGACTCCGTTGATCTAAGTCCGACATATTTGGGCTGGGGAAAATTTTCGACTTTTGAAAGTTAATACGAAGCCCTATTTGTGAGCAAAAAGCATTCAAGAACCATTTTGAATACCATACATGGGATAAGTCAATGGTTTGAAAAATGAAACAATCATCTGCAAATAAAAGATGAACCCCTTTGGATCGGCCCATAAAACCCAAGTTGGCTCCTAAATAAATGCCCAAGTGAGTCCCAACTTTGACACATAAAATTGATTGGAGACTCTGTTGATCTAAGTCCGACATATTTGGGCTGGGGAAAATTTTCGACTTTTGAAAGTTAATACGAAGCCCTATTTGTGAGCAAAAAGCATTCAAGAACCATTTTGAATACCATACATGGGATAA